GAGTGTCACTGCAACTGCTATGGACAGACGTGTCGCTTACCATCAGGCGCACGATTCATTCAGCCCGTCGCTTTGTATTATAAAGTAAAGCCACTCTAGCCGCCGGTGGTCGCCAAATCCAACCGCTTCAAGTTGTTAGCGAGGTTAACTAGAATTCACCCGTTTGCGGACTTATTATTATTATATGACACATACCCCGCTCTTCCCCGTAGAGGATCAGTACTGGTTATTGTTGGCCAAAGGTAATCCATTCGGTAGGTTGTCAAAAACTGATCCATTTTAAATACAAGCGATTATATATATATTTGAACGATGAAATGAATTCCAAATAATGTAGCCTAAACGGTTTTGATAAGACTGCGAGCTTCGACTCGTTTGACCAATTTGTCTTTAAAATTTTTCAGCGTATATAAAATTTTCATATCTAAATCTGAAATTTTCTCCTTTTCTAAACAATCAACTGAACTGATTTTACGTTCGTTGTTTTGAATTTTTTTTTCTTCTTTTTTGACTTGTCAATATATTTTGACGTTGATAGAGGTTGAAGAATTTTAAAGCAAAAAGTTTTTCGAAGAAAAAAGATAGTGTCAATTATTGTCAATTTTACCTTCACGGGGTTCGTGTGACACTGGCCCTTGCCTAGTGGCTGCCATTAAGGAAATAGAATAGAATAGAGTATCCACCGAAGTTATATGGTATGTGAGACTACCGTTTTTAATAACATGACTTCCGCAAAGTAACGCCCGAATCTATTGAGTATTTAAAAATATTGATTGACTATATTATTTGACGACCTCCGTGATCCAGCGGCTATGAGGTCCCGGGTTCAATCTTCGGGTAAGTTATGGTACCGTCGTTGTTTTCGATTTCCATAATACAAGAGCTTTAATTATTTACTTTGGGATCACAGCAACGTATATAATGTTGTCTAATTACGAAACCTAGAAGAAATGTGTCAGGGCCATGTTTAGTGTGGGTCAGCAAAAGAATTGTGTACTCTACTTTAAGAAACTGAAGGTATTAACCCTGCAACGGATGTTTATTTACGAGGCTTGTGTTTATGTGAAACAAAATCTAGATCATTTTAATTATTCAAAATAAGATATCTTAGAAACACAACGAATGAAACACGGCCCAAACAACTCCCTAATTTGGAATTTTACAATAGAACGATTGTATTTGCACACGAAATGTTTAATAAATTACCGGATGCTGTTAAGGAAATAAATTGTAGGCAATTAAAAGTTCATAATTTATTACTTTTATTAGTTACTCAATGCTATATATTCATTGACTTACAAATAAATGGTCTAATACAAAAACCACGAAAAAAATGTCCCAAGTCAACCTATTTAAACGTAGTGACATGTAAAGGAATATGAAAAAGCTAAAACCTTGAATTTAAATTGTAATGTCATCGCAGTACTGTCTAATTTTGCTTGCTTCGCTGTCGGTCGAACAAACGAAGACTAAAGCGTGAATGACGCTCTGTATGCGATTTTAACGCCCTATAAGTTCGGACACTTTTTAGCGCGGACCCGACGTCCATATCAATGTTTTTGACGTATTATTAACTTTCTTCACTATTATTCATGATTTTTTTACTAACATAAAATGTAAAATGTAACTATTGCATGTTATATTATTGACTTCCTATTTTCTGGTTAACTACCAATTGTTACTGTGTTTATGCTATTATTGTATTAATTTAACTTTAAACGCATTTTACATCAAAAACGAAATAGGAATTGTGTAAAATATTCGCGTGTCAAGTCTTGGTGAATAACAATGGACAGCACCAACGTCCCCAATTGCTTCCGAGGCCCTTTAGCGTCCACCGGGTAGGAACCACTGGGTTATAGGGTACTGGTGAAACGAGTTTTGTCAACTTATGTCACAGGGTAACAGGCACAGTACCGGTGTCTTTCAGATTTTTGCGATTTAAAGTTTTGAGTGGCATTGCAACTGTTGTGGACAGGATTGTTAACACCAGACGCACGACTTTTTTGTCCCGTCACTAAAAAAATGTAGAGATTGCGGACTCTACAGTGTACTTTCTTAAGCCGGGCACTCATTAGAGGACTGTAACTGTAACGTGACAGATATAGTAACGAGGTTATAGAGTGTACGCGTGAAACAGTTTTCATTCGCGGGAATGAATACCTGGTTATCGTACCACGCGAACCACGCACGATCTATGATTTTTGGTAACATAACACGCAACGGCTACGGTTAAAGCACGCTAGTGAGTACCCGGCTTTAGATCCCGGATATAGAAAAAGAAACGTACTTACTTGAATGCAAAAACAGAACATATCAAAGACGGTAAGTGTACATATAACGTGACTTCCAGCGTCCGTATTTGGGCTCTTCACGAGGTGGCCCAAAGGGGTTCTTCTCTAGAATCACTTTAGCCAGCAGACCGTGGCTGACGTCATACGAAGTCTCGCCAGTATTTACGCGCAGGATGCGCCGAAGCTCCCCTATTAAAGAAAAAAAAACATAAAAAATTAAGACTTCCACTAAGCATTCAAAAATAATTTGACGGTCAAATGTGGAAACAGTATTGCAATTCTTTGAAATGCGAAGATAGAAGAAGCGCCAATAGCGGTTTGTGACGTCACACCTTAATATCATCATAAATTCAATATCATCAGGTACACGTGAATTGTGGAAGTGATAAACAATTTTCATCCGTTGTGAAATGAAGTGACATTTTCAGAGTTGGTTTTGGAGTGGCGGCAGCGAAGGTGGTGACTGAGAATAAAATATTGTTATATTATCCATGCTTATGGCGGTGAGAACGATACCGACAACGCTCTAGGATTTCCTGTGGAATGTAGAGGTACGACGATGTATCTGATAAATGGACACATTTCGCACCTCTCGTGAAAGAATGCCATAAGTGGAGTTACGTCAAAAATGTTTGTTGCTCCATTAGATAGAGAAAAATATAACCCACGTCCTCTCCAATTCTTGTAACTCTATCGACTAATATTGTATTCTTGTAACGCTATCGACTAATATTGTAGATAGAGTTACAAGAATTGGAGAGGATGTGGGTTATATTTTTCTGTATCTAATGGAGCAATAAACATTTTTGACGTAACTCCACTTATGCCATTCTTTCATGAGGGGCACGATTTGTCTTTTTGACACATTGACTTACAATTATATGGACGTCGGGTCCGCGCTAAAAAGTGTCCGAACTTATAGGGCGTTAAAATCGTATACAGAGCGTCATTCACGCTTTAGTCTTCATTTGTTCTACGGACAGCGCGATACTGCGATGACATAACAATTTAAATTTCGAATAGGTTGACTTGGGACATTTTTTTCGTGGTTTTTGTATTAGACCCGTCGTCCATTTAATTGTAAGTCAATGCTTGGGACATTTTTTTCGTGCTTTTTGTATTAGACCCGTCGTCCATTTATTCGTAAGTCAATGTTTTGACATCTATGTTGTGAAGTCAGTCGTAGGAGTTAGTTCAGAAGGGGATTGAGCAATGTTTCACCATTTCGAGTAACTCTGCATTACTCCCCAAGAGTCAGTGACGAACGCGAGATCTAAATTATGTTCGCTATATTATTGCAGAATTCTTTCTTTAGAAGTCTTCACGATTACCATTTCGCTCCTCCATCACGGCACATCAAGTAACCGCGAGATTTACAGTCCTTTGAAGTTCCGCAACATGACGAGACTCTACACTTCTCATGAATGTCATAGAGTTGAATTTATATCTTAAGCGTGAAGCTCAGCGAACTGTAGACGGTAACTATAACACGTCAGACTCTTTCTCTCTCTCTTTCTCTCATATTATACTATTATACCTTGGCGTAATAGAGATCAGGGGGATCAAGGGGACATCCGTCCGGAACAATATACGTCTGAAAACGAAGAAAAAACCAGAATGCGAACAGTCTCAATAAAACCAAACAAAAACAAACCAAAATAGACATTCTGTCAGTCCGCTGCCTGCTAGCCGGCTATACCAAGCAGGCGGCGTCAAAGAAGGTCATAACCTTAGAATAATAACGCATAGAAACCTAGTCCGCACAGGCTAAGTGAGGCAAATTGAAGCGCGCCAAAAGGGCCTACACGAGCGGGCGGGCCTTCAGTGCTCAAGGTCAACTTGCACCGTGAACAGCTCAAGAATTTTATTTAAAACTAACGAAATGTGTGGTAAATGAGTGTAAAAACACATCAGACAAACATAAAATAGATACTAACATCACATTCCACAAGGAACTAACGCGTTTCAACTTGTATTTTTATATAAATTTTCACTAAAACCGAAAATTAACCTACTACTAAAACTAGCCTACATGAATTTGATTTTTGCCTCACTTGTGACAGTTCGTTTGATATGAAACTATCATTCTATGCGTTATTATTCTAAGGTTATAACATTCCCACCTCCAGTATTGCAAGGCAACGAGACGTTTTAGCAAAACTACCGGCAACTCTTAAATAACAACGGGGCTTCGACAAGACACGACGAGGCATTTGTCAATCCCTCTAAAAAAACGTTTCGGACTGGTTGGTGGAGATTGCAATAGAATAATCAACAATAGAATTCATGTCAATTCGTAGTAAAATTTACTATCCGACTCGAAGAACCATGATAACGAGTAAAAAATCGGAATGCGAACAGCTTTATATTTCGTCTCAATAAAACAAACAAAACACAAACGAAAATCTGTCAGTCCGCCACCTGCTTGCCGGCTATACCAAGCAGGTGGCGTCAAAGAAGGTCATAACAACGTCATGTAAATAATATTCGACCAAGTCAAAACACAATGTCAAGTATGAAGCCTTATTCACAACATGCATCTTTTAATTTAGTTGAGTATTATTTATCTGACAGCATTGACTTACAAATAAATGGACGACGGGTCTAATACAAAAACCTCGAAAAAAATGTCCCAAGTCAACCTATTTAAACGTAGTGACATTTCAAGGAATATGAAAAAGCTAAAACGTTAAATTTAAATTGTAATGTCATCGCAGTACTGTCTAATTTTGCTTGCTTCGCTTTCAGTCGAACAAACGAAGACTAGAGCGTGAATGACGCTCTGTATACGATTTTAACGCCCTATAAGTTCGAACACTTTTTAGTGCGGACCCGACGTCCATATAATTGTAAGTCAATGTCTGATAGTAATTTTTTCGGATGGATGTTGGACAGGGGCTAGCAATCCTATGAAACTGTTTGATTCAATAATGGACAAATTGGCGCAATTATGTAACCCTAAAGTCGTATAGCCCACGATACTATAGTACACATACTTACTTCTGAGTTTATCATCATACTTGGGCCTCATAGACATCTTCGAAGGGTGTTCTTCGTATTTTTCATCATCCGGTTGGCGGTACGAGCCGAGGTATGTGGTGTCCGGAATGTAGATGTCATCGGGCAAGTGCAGCGTCTGCATTGCTTTGGCTCGACGCGCTAAGTTCACCGACATAAATGGTAGATCTGGAAAGACCTTTTTTAGTCAATTTGGTGAAACGAAAAACGTATTACAATAATTTTCTCCGCAATAGAAACTTGAAACTTGGCACTTACATAATGGTGGTTAATTGTGATTGTAAATAAAACCAAAAAGATAAAATAAATTCAAGCTAACCTCTGGAACAATGTTTGACCAAGTACTCAGTCCTCTTTATATCTTGGATTTCGTTTTCGATCGGCTTGGGATCTACGTCTTTGGTCATGTACTTCTTTGCTAGACCTGGATAGTCGTCTTTGAACTGGAAATGCGACAAGCGTCTACTTATATACTTTAAGATTTTTAAACCAAGACTTTAATACTCAAGTTTCTGTACGTCAATAGGAAGACGTTAAGTGAGAATTAGCCAAATATGCTTTCTTTATTTTAAGGCTTTTTGTAAAAGAGTTTGTCCAGGGAAGTAGTGCCACCTTACCTATTTCAGTCGCCAAGGTGTAATGTGATATGCACATGGAACTTGTCAACTTCTGTCTCAGGGTGACGGGCATGCAGTGGCAGTGCCCCCAAGATCGTTGCGACTTAACTGGAACTGCTACGAACAGGCGTGTTGCTTACTACCAGGCGCACGACTTTTTCGTTTCGTTACTTGGTATCATATAAAAAGCCCCAGACAGATCGCCTACTATCTAATGGAGGATAATCTGGTTTATTTATCGAGATCCTAGGATTTCGCGATAAATTAGATATTAAACCATTTTTTCGGATCTAAAATCACGCGTATTTATTTAAAAGCACATCAACGTTTTGGGCTACAGATCCAGACTGTCAATGCCTAAAAACTGTTATACGTTACTCTACGATTGATCAAGAACGAACGATCGATCATTTGCGCCCCGTATCGCTTTTTCTGTAAAAAACAATTTCTGTTAAGTTTATACACAAATTCCTACACTGCGTCTCACATCTTCTGGTCGCCAATCGATTGTCAGTAGGGCTAGCACAAGGGCGCGACTTACTCGAGAGCGACATACAGCGCGAGATATTATATTAAAATTAAATTAAATAGGACTTTATTCATCAAACACACCCGTACATATGCATAGAACATCACACGATATTATGAACTAATAAATTATGAGCTATGAGTGATGAAAAGGCCGAAGCCTCAACATAGTGCTGTTATCCAGACTCCGCCTGTGTTCTCTGTCGGATATTGTCGAAACATAATTTTGAACAAAAGGACCACAACAAAACAAACATCGGAAATGAAACTATTTTTCCGGATTTAAATCGCGTGTATTTGTTTTTTCAAACAAACCGACGTTTTGGGCCCTTTACAGGTCCCATGGTCACGGCGATTTAAATCCGGAAAAATAGTTTCATTTCCTATGTGTAACAATCGCGAAAACCTAAGAACTCGATATAAAACAAACATCATTAGTCTAACTTAAGTTTAACTATTTATTTACTGGTTACAAGTGTTAATAATACACATATCAAGCAGAAACAAGCAAATCTAATCAGGCCGACAAAGGGCACAATGACTGTTATCAGACTATACGGATTACTATTCCAGAACCGACTAGGAACATGACGACTTCTGTTGCAAAAGAAGCCATTCCTTGCACTTTCGTTTGAAAGTATAAAAAAACCCAGCCGTCTTCACTGGTGGTGGAAGGTCATTCCAACATTTAGAGGCGGCAAAGCGGAATCTGCTTCTGAATGACGTCAGATGTCAGAATCCGCATTTGTAACATTGGGTATCTAATTTGTCGAGTGTTGCTCGTATCTTCCCCCTATCATTCCAGTTCAATTTATCAGCCAAATAGGTAGTGAGGCGCACTACTCAATCGTAATTTTAATATGAACCCATTCAATTTTAAATATTGCCTGTGACTCATGTCTAAAATATTAAAAGTATTTAGAAATGGAGTTATACGAGAATACATACATAATATATAGATACTGCTATTCTCGCACACAGATCTTGCGCTTTATGTTGAGCCCTATCATACTAACCACGACCCAACGTCGGTTCTAGAAGCCGATAGATATATATAAGTGTACTGCATACCCGTTCAACACCTTTCTTGTAATACTCCGGCTCCAGAGGGCATAACACGTCGGGGATTTTCCGGGGCACATCTTTAACTTTGAGCGCGTCGCGACTCACGCCCACGATGAGGCAGTTGTCGCATGTACCCTTTACGCGCGGTGGAAACCTGAGGTATTAGGCCCATTTACACAGTCACTTTGTCGAGTGTGATCAGGAGCGTAGAGGATTGCACGCGGGATAGCCTGCTGATTTACTGTCTGTCTGAAGTTTTTTAAGCTAACGTTCTTTCGCGCGCGACTGCTTGTATTAGTTTTTGTTACAACGGAAAGACCGTGTACAGGCTAATTGCGCAGGATAGACAGCGTGAAACAGGCGCGTCTTTCCCTTTTTGTTTCCAACGTTTTTACACGCGCGCTCACGGGCGATAGAGTGTCTGTGTAAAGTCTACTGCTGTCGATAGAAATGAAGCAATTAAGAGATTGTTAAAGAAGTCACCAGCTTATTGTACAAAGTACCTAGCTACGTGATCACAGTTTCCAAGGCTGTCTGTTCTTGCATAAGAGTAGATGATGCCATCATTAGACAGCCGAATGACTGGTTGGACATCGGCCTCTCCTAAAGATCAATCAGTTTTGCGCTGCTCGCATCCAGCTACTACAATACGCACACCTTTCACCAAACCGCCACCCATGTGGTTGTCCCCGCTACGTTTTCTGGTTTCTTCGGTAATCTGAGCAATGTGCCCTGCCCACAGCCACTTAAGTTTACCAATTCTTTGTGGCACCTCCTCTAGGTAAGACATCTATGGGTTAGCTAACGCTGAGAGTGATGACGTTACTTATTCGTCGACGGGTTTGCATATTTTTTTAGCATCGCTCTTATTCATAGACTTTAAGCAAACGCTGTCACTCGAACAAATCATATATAATTATGATATACCGCATTTTAACTGCCCCAGCAAAGCTTTTAAAGTACCTACTGCTTAAATAGCGCGCTGTTTAAAACTTACCTGCTAGATAATTAAGTGTTCATCAAAAAATTATTCACTTACGGAATACTCTTCGATTTATAATCCACCATATACACCGATCGAAAATCGATTTCTCCGTCGAACGCAGACATTTTTTACAATTAAAAATATATACGTATATAACAAGTAAAAACTTTCAGCTAAGTATGTTACATATAATATTTTATATTTATAATATATTGTTTAGACAGTAAAGAATTTTATTGACGTACTAAAATAAATAAATGAGACAGGAGAATTTTAATTGTAATACCTACTCAGTGACTTGAATTTGTGAAAAGTTTTGCTTATAAATAGATTGCTATGCATGTGAAAAAAAAAAATACGCGACGAAAGAGTATAAATCTATATAGTGGCTACCACCCCTATATGTTGTGGATATTCGATACGCACAATGCATTACGCTTCCACATTTATATGGCGAACGGCTATGGAGTGCACCACGCATTGGTACGCTACACTTATTCAATTTAAGCGTCGACACCACATCCGAAGATATAAAGCAGCATCTACAATCTCGGCTGCGAATTGGTGGAGTATGCTGTGAGCGGCTGCCGACACGCGGAGAGTACGCGTCCTTTAAATTAGAGGTGCCAGCCAACAAAGTCCAATCTATACGAGATCCTGGATTATGGCCCGCCGGAGTATCAATTAGAAAGTTCAATACGATCACTCCAAAAAACTTAAGAAAAATACAAGCGCGGCACGATCAGGGATAACCTCAAAACCGAGACACAAATCGAACATAACGATCTTACACCAAAATGTACGTTCTATTACTGGTAAAACGGGACTATTGAACATAATTTTAAACACACACGAACCTGACATTCTTGTATGTTCTGAAACCTGGTGCAAAAACAATGAAATACTACGCGTGAAGTTATCAGGGTACGAGCTCGCAAATTACTACTGTCGCCCGCGCATCAACCACGGCGGTGTAGCTATGTTTACAAAGCCAGGAATCTTATTTAAACAAAGAACGGACCTACAGAGTATTGGTGTTGAATATCATTGTGAAATTTGTGTAATTGAACTGTATTCGGAAAATATTGTTATTGTGGGTATTTATAGAACTGGAAACGGAGATTTTAAACAATTTCTATATTCAATAGAAAAATTATTGTCAACAATATTTGACGAAAATAAAAGGTTAATTTTGGTCGGCGACATAAACGTAGATTATTTAACCGACAACTCGGACAGGCGATGCCTAGACGACCTATTAAGTTGGTATAACACAAAAAATATTGTCGATTTTCCTACACGCGAATGTGACACTTGTAGCACTTCTTTGGACTGTGGGATAGTTTCGAGCGATGACTGTAATTACATAACCGTTTCTCCTTTAGATACGCCGATAAGCGACCACAACGCACAGCTATTCGTATTACCTGTTACGCAACACAAAAATGTAAACAAATTCATACATCGACGTATCTTTGCAGAGGAGTCTATTAATTTATTTTATATGGACATTTATAATTATGAATGGAGTTTCATTCATGTGACTGATATTAATATTAATGAAAAATTTAGTTCATTGATAAGAATATTAACTTATTATATTAATATTCATTTTCCAGTTAAAAAAATATCTTTAAAGAGGAATACTATTCCATGGGTGAGTGAAGAACTTAACCACCACATTGCAATGTATAATAATTTCTGCTCAATGAAACACCAATTTCCACATGATAATGTTTTAAATAAATGTCTTCAACATCATTCAAATTTAAAATCTATGAGTTTGCGTGATCGTCGTCTATTTAATGATAATAAGATGATGTCTACTAAAAACTCGAGTAAGGTAATGTGGCAGATTGTGAACGATGAGGTTTCAACTAGGAATCACCAACAAAACGTTCGACTGACTCACAAGGGAGACATTGTGCCTGTAGACATGATACCTGACTACTTCAATGATTATTTTCTTACAATAACTTCAAAATTACATCTACACAATAATACAGAAAAATCAATGCCATTTTTAAGAAAATGCGTGGGTGAATGCGATGTTCCTCAGTACAGCCTTCCAACTGTCACTCGTGACTCGTTGGAGGGGGTAGTGAGGGGTATGTGGCATACGTCAAAAACGCTGGACATATACGATATATCTATAAATATATTAATGTCGGTGTGGCCAGTGATTGGAGACATACTCGTTATTTTAATAAATGAAATGTTTAGAGAAGGTATATATCCTGATATTTTAAAAAGTACTCGTGTATGTCCAGTGTTTAAGGGGAAGGGGGATGTGACCCATGTTGAAAGCCACAGACCGATAACCATAGTTCCGAATATATCAAAAATAATAGAATCTATTATATCAACAAGTATTATGGATCATTTCGAAATGAACGATTTGTTATCAGATAGACAATATGCTTATAGGAAAGGTAAATCCACCGTAGTTGCAGCACAAAATATAGTAGATTCTATTATTACCAGTATAGATGATAAGTATAAAACTGCAGGCATTTTTTGTGACCTAACAAAGGCGTTCGATGTAATTGAAAATGATTTATTAATTCAAAAGCTAGCTGTGTATGGCGTCAACGGAGTCGCCCATAACCTATTAAAGTCTTTTTTATCAAACAGACGGCAAACGGTTCAGGTCAGTACAAACGGTACAACAACTAGGTCAGCGGCTGGTGACGTCACCATTGGCATCCCACAGGGATCTGCCCTAGGTAATACACTATTCCTGGCATTCATCAATGATCTGCCATACTTTATATCAGGGGGTCTTGTGGTTCTATTTGCGGACGATACAACCGTTATAGTGTGTGCTAAAACCTACAACGAGTTGGAAGAAAAATTAGTCTGCACGTATGAGCAGCTGTGTGAGTGGTTCTCTGCGAATGGACTTATTCTTAACGAATCGAAGTCAAACCTTATGTTGTTCTCAGGAAGAAATTCTATAACAAAGCCAATTATCACCTCCATTGTTCCATTATGTAACACCTGTAAATTCTTGGGTTTAACGCTAGACTCAAATTTGAACTGGAAGTCACATATACAAACTCTATGTCAAAAACTTGGAAGTGCTGCATACGCACTGAGGAAACTGCGTTCTCTTGTCTCCAATGTGGTATTGAGGCAGACGTATTATGCGTATTTTCATTCGTTGATGTCTTATGGCATCACACTGTGGGGTAATTCAACTGAGTCGATTAGGGTATTTATTCTTCAAAAACGTGCACTAAGAACAATAGTAGGCATAAAAAAGGGTCAGACCTGCAGAAACCTTTTTAAGAAATACAATATAATGACCATGTACTCACAATATATTTATGATATAATAGTTTATGCGCGTCAAAACTTGGCTACTTATGAGCGACGTACGGGCGGAGGCCGAGCGTTACGAAACGCGGGAACACTAAAATCCGTTGCCCACCGTACCGAACTTGCAACTAGAAATCCGCGGGTAATAGGTCCCCGATTCTACGAACATCTACCCACAGACCTGAAAAGTGTTAGAAACGATGCAACGTTTTGTACCCGACTAAAAAACCTTTTATTGGATATTGAATTGTACAGTGTCGATGAGTTTCTTTTGAAACAATTTTAATTTTATTTTATTCGACAAGCAGTAGTTATACTACTTTATTTTATATTCATTATTATTATTATAATTTTATTACTGACGATCATAGTTATCCCTTGACATTGTATTTCCAATTGTAATATTGTGACATTGATAACATGAAATAAACGATTCTATTCTATTCTAATCCCCTGCCTGCAGCCTTATTCCCTGAACGTTATAACTTGGACCTTTTCAAGGCGAGAATGAACAGGCATTTCTTAGGTGCGCATGCTCCATCGTCGACCTCATGGTCACTTTCCATCAGATGAGATGGAGGCTTAGAGGAACAAAAAAAACACTGGTGTGTTTTGAGATCAAAAATAAAATACTTTTTCTTCAAACCAAACGAAACTAAATATTTTAATTGTAACTATCAATTTTTCAAAAAAAAATACCAAAGAATTAAAGTTGTGAGGAATATCATTTATTGCATGAACCATCACTATCATAGAGATATTTTTAGAGTTTCTAGCTAGTTTTAGAAATAGAAAAGAATGTTAGTTGTAAAATATTAATTTTACTATGCAAATATACTTTTTATTCCGTTCCATAATTCAACCTTACCTGGCTTATAAACTCTCCCCATTCCTAGATAAAACAAAGAAACTGACTGAAAAAACTGTCCCGGTCTTTCTTGGACTAGTGTTCACCACCTAATTTCCGTGGCAATTGTTATTATTTAAGTATTCGATTTTTTTATCGTGCAATATTATTTAATATCTCAGATTCTCTAATATATCAAAAGACTTAAATAAAAGTTTGAAATTTGGCAGTGACCACTAGGCCGAGAATGACCGATCAATGGCTAAACTCTTACCGCGCGAAGCCAAAATAAAAAACTTATAGAAGAAATATACACTGAGGGTCGTATTCCAGAACTCTACTCAGTGTTCACGTCAAGATCTGAGTATGATTTCAAGCACTGGAAATTCGACCCCAATTGCAGAGACTTGAGTATGATTTCGAGTGCTTTAAACTATACTCAAGTCAGGATTTGAGCAGACTTGAGTATGATTTCAAGCACTGGAAATACAACCCTAATGGCAAGGACTTGAGTATAATTTTCAGTGCTCACTGCAATACTCAAGTCCTGACTTGAGTATTGAGTAGAGTTCTGGAATACGACCCTAAGACTGGCTTGACATTTAATAGAAAATCAATTATTGGACATTATCACTTTATTAACCAATAGTTACATAAATATGTGCACAATGTAACAAAAATAGCAAACATTTAAAGAATTAACCAATTTCAAATACAAATTATGAATACATAACATATACCTCGTCTTTTCTTATGCAATTTACATAAGTGCAAGCGAGATAGATATATCGCAACCTCAGCATTAAAATGACGAAACTTCCAGGTTAATTTTAGAACACTGACAAAATAGATTTAACAAAAACATATCGCACGCGGCACCAGCCATAAATGAAATTTGACTGGCGCCATTACTATTTGGTATGAAAAATAATTCATTTGGTCAGTTTCTGCAAAACGAACATTTTTTTTTGT